CCATTAGGATGGGGGTGGAGCCTGGCTCAGGTAGCTGGGCCTTGCAGCCACGTGGCTAAAACTGCACCAGTTTCCTAACAGTATGCAATGCCAGTGGAAAGGACAGAGTCGTTGGAAAAGTAACCAACCCGGGCCTTGAACACCACTTTTTAAAGCGGTTTCTCAGAAGATGAAAGAAAAAAAGCAGGGAAACCTAATGAATGGCACCACTTATTTTCTTTCCCTAATTATTAGCTCCTTTTAGGCAAACATGAACAGAATATATATATTATAAATTATATGTTATTAGTAAGGTATAAAGCTGAGTTGGCACCAGTAAAGAAATGGGGTGTGGGGTGTCCCCTGCCTGGAGCCCGACTGGCGGGTTGCCAGGGTTCTCTGTCTAGCCCTAGCCACAGCTTTTTGGTCAGGCGGTGTCACTGTGCCATCTTTAGAGGTTCTGAGGTAGGAGGATAGGCCCCTGACACCAACTGATAACCTAAAGGGAACCTCAGAATGACACTTTGTCAGCCCAGGTCAGGCCTTCAGGAAATTCTGAGAATTAGGAGGAGGTGAGAAGAGGCGGGCGGGACATGAGCCCATGAGGTGTCCACCTAGAGAGCCGCTGGAGTGGAGGCCTGCCCTGAGTGCAAGGAGCCTCAGAGCCTGCCCCCGGCCCTGCTTTCCTGGGCTGGCTGCTGTCTCCCTTGCTACACACGCTGTGCTGGACTGAGCCAGGTCCCGGGCAGAGCCACACCTTGACACTAGGAACTTCCTCTCCCATGCTCTGCTTCTCTTGCCTGTGTTGAAGGCAAGGTCCATGCTGTTCTGGACCCCACAGTGGGGTGAGGTTAGAGGGGCCCTGGAAAGCTGGTTGGGGGAGCTTTTTGAGCAAAAGTTTCTCCAGAAGTGCGGACTGCTCTCACCAAGCCCTTGTACCAGAACACATCACCCAGTGCCTCTGCCTGTCTGGAGATGAGAGTCTGCATGAACGGAAAGGAAAGGGGCCTCCAGAGGAGCTTCTTTCCCTTTCCTTTTAGAGCAAGGCTCTTGTTTCCTGTTTACATCAACGCCACAACCCTAGGGGAAGTGCTGAGGAACTGTGGGAGGATGGGCGGTGTTTTTTTGAGATAGTCCTCTGTTCCGGGCCAGAAAGGAAGGAGGAGGGGCCGCCTGGGAGTGGTGAGATAGCCTGAAGGGGGAAGTGCTGCCCCCGGGCTGGGCCTTCACACCCACCCCCTACCATTGAGGTGGCAGTGGACACACTAGTCTGGTCCTGCTGCCAGAGCCTCTGCAGAGGCAGGGGAGATGGGGGAGTATGTGGGGCTTGTGAACTGGAACTCAGGGGTGCCAGCATATTGTCAGTGCAGATAGACACTTTGGTCCATGGAAATTCAAGTTGAATGGATGAGCTCATTAATTCAACAAATCTCTGGGTGCCCACTGTTCCAGACACTGCTCAGTGCAGTGGTGAACAAGTGCCCACAGCCCCTGACAGCACCGTGCCCAGCAGGTGTATATTGTGTTCAGCGTGTGCCCCTGTTTACAGCTAACTTATTAAGGTATCTGCATGCACTGATATGCATGAAAAGCATGCACAGGAAAGAAGCAGAAGTAAGCTCTAGAATGATCTCCCACCTTAGTGGACTGTGTGGTGCACACACTCTGCTGTGGAGAGCACTGACAAGTACTGTTGCTTTAACAGGTAGCCTTTGCATTGCAGATACCTTGGGCCTGCAGATGAGAGAGAGAAAGCCAGGTAGGCAAAAGCTGAGCTCAAATAATTTATTAACAACCAGGCCCCAGCAAGGCTGATGGCCACTGTCCCCCTCAGCTCCCTTGGGAAGGGCGCTCAGGTTGCCTGGGTGGGTGTTGAAGGCACTCATGCGCCTATGTAGTCAAATTCCTGGTGGACTGGGATTGGGAAGGGTGGTACAGCAGAACCCTGTTGCCAGGGAAGCAGTATCCGGCTCCTACCGAGTCTTCCTGCTGCACATCTGCCTGTCTCGCCATCCCCTGCAGGAGCAGACTGACAGATGTGCTCAGCATCTCTGATTCTTGGCCCAGCGTCTGCCACTTTTCTTCTGGGCAAGAACTTAGGCCTGAGCACCCCCTCCTTCCAGGTCCACCGTGGAAGCTGCAACCAGCACTTGGCTTCCTTCACCTCACTTTGGGGATGGTATGAGAGTGAGTTAGGAAGCTGCCAGCTTGCAGGTTCTTAAAGGTTTCTACTCTGCTGTGATGTCCACACCTGGGGGTCAGGAGAGCTAGCTGACTTCCCCCACCTGTGGTCCCATTTCTGCCTGTGGGTGTGTGGTGGTCTCTGTAGGGCTGGTCTGCTGTGCAGGCAGCGACTCCAGATCTAGCTCCGAGAGTGCTTGTTCTGCAGGCTTGGGTGAATCCTGATGTTCCTGGCTTATAGGCAGGTACAGCCCAGAGAGTGATTCTTCTTTAGGCTTGTCCCTTCTGGGCCCTTCCTTCATTTCTTTGTTCATCCCAGTCACCTTGAAATCTTGGTAGTAAGGACAGTCACAGTGTCTGATAGTTCTCTGTCTCCTCTACTAGTCTGCCTCAGGATACCTTTCTTCTCTTCACCTCTTCCTGCAAGAAGGGAGCAGTCAGGGTTAAGAGAATACAGTGCTGGGCTAAGGTTCATGAAAGGAGGCCGGATGGCCCTGCGAGACTCAGCACAGGCCTTCCCCTGCAGGCCGCTGCTGGGCTCTGTTCCGGCCCTTCCCTGCCTGGGAAGCCAGCAGCCTTTGAGAGTCTCCTTGACAACAGGATGCACAAGTTAAAAATAACCCGGTGTGGGGCCTTCTCTGAGTAGGAGCAGCGAGTGCCCTCTTGCCTGCCTGCCTGCCTGCTGTGCTTGAGCTCAGTGGTTGTGGCTTCGGAGAGCCTCTGTCTGGCCTTGTCAGAGCTGGGGTGCTCACATTTCGATGGCCCAAGCTTCAGCGGTCAGAGCCAAATGGTCGCAGGCCTTGTATTACAGGTGGCTGCCGCCAAGTGCCGGTGTAAATGTACCCTAAAGAATGGGAGCCATGGCCCTTGTTGTCTCTAATAGAGAGGGACAGCACCGGGGTGGTGCAGTATTTCAGAACCTCTTGGGGCAGTGGAGTACAGCATAGCCCTGGGTGGGAGTGTGCTGTAGCTCTTCAGGGCATCGCCACAGGGAGGCCTTTTTTATGAGGTGAGGACACCAACGCAGGCCCCCGCAGTGCTTGTCCAGAGGCCCCTGGCTCAGCTGGACAAAGTAAGGAGCAAGTCATGTTGTCAGGAGCTTTGGCCCTACTGACTAGGCCATCTCTGTGGGTGCCTGTCTCTGTATGCACAGTCTGCACTGTTTGTACCACAGCTGTCAGTGAGTGGAGAAATAGCTGTCACCACGCGGCAGGGGCTGAGTATCTCTTAGCCATACCTGGAATGAATTCCTGTCTTTCCCTCTCTCCTGTCTTTGCATCCATTAGTAAGTGTTTTTCTGTGGGTCAGGCATGGGGCTGTAATGAGAAGGTATGTGGAACCATTTTTAGGGAGCTTCTGGGTAACTGGGGAAGTGTTTATTAAAAAAGGCCCCATCATGTCAGTGCTGGGAGGGAGTGTTGGGAATAACAGTGACTGGGGTGAGAGGTTTGCAGAAGGCTGGGGGAAGACAGGAGTGCATAAAAACACCCATAAGCCAGTCTAAAGGAAGGCAGAAGATAGCAAAAAAACTGACCAATAATCTGATAAAACTGTTGGGCCATTAAACATAATATGAAATCCCATTCAATTTCATGTTTGTGTTCATTCTTCGGGGAAATTCAAATTGTTAGTGCAACTTAAAACTGCCTGGCTGTTGCTGGGCTTGCACACGTATGTAACACAGTCTCGAAAGAGGTGATGTGATTGTTGTGATTCCTAGTTTGCATCATTCTGAGTTTCTGCTGAAGAGTAAGATGGGCTCCAGAAAGACAGGTTAGTAGGAGACATGCGGCCATGTAGCTTCCCAGCACCCCCGTGTCCTGCCACTGCTTTCCTCCCAGTGCTGCTCCGCAGGGGCTCTCAGGTGTGGGGAACGCTCTCTGGAGGGCTGTGCACACATTCAGGAGCTTGTGACCGCAGTACTCAGTGATTCGGTTTCTTCTCTATCTCTTCTCACAGCATCTGTTTGGAATTCCCCGAAGAAGTAAAATTTCTAAGTAGGAGCTAGGATCCAGAATAGCCGTTTCCTTGACCTTTGGGTAAAGAGTTTGTTGCTGGCCTGGTTCTGGTCTCCCTCCCCAGGCTGGGTCAAGGTGTGTTTCTGTAGGTGTTTTCTTCTTGGCTAGGGCCTGGATGGCAGCTCTGTGTGAGTGGCATTGCAGGGTCTGCTGATGTCCAGGCCTGGCAGCAGAGAAGGGCCAGGCACCCAGGCTCAGGTGTTGACTGGAATAAGCTGTCAAGTGTAGCCTCCTTTGCACAGGGTGCTCTTGTGAAGTCTGGAAGTGATGATCTGGACTTGTGGGGGGTAGGTATGGGCATTGACTGGCCCACGGGGGATAATGACCCACACACTGGCTTCTCCTGAGAGCTCTGGAGGTTCTGAGCATCTGTAGGGTGCTGTGGAGGAGCAGGGGCTGTGCTCTCTGCTCGATTCAATTGTTGGGGAAGAGTTTTCAGAGCTGGATGGCTCTTCCCGGGAGCCTGCAGCCAGCCCTGATGGCATAAACCTGGGATGCATGGGCAAGGGCTGGCTCCGGGATCACCGTGGAGAAAATGAGCCACAGCCTCCTTTTTGTGTTCTTTGAATACAAAAAGAATCTCTCTTCTGGATTGGGCCCCTCCTCTCAGACCTGGCCAAGTGAGCAGACTGCTCTTCTAGCAGAGTACACCACTGCCTCACACATCAGAGCAGTGTCAGGATTGCTGTGCGTCCCGACTGTGCCTGGTTCTTGTGCCCTGTTTGGAGTCTCTCCCCACAGATATCCCAGGACAGCCACGTGCTGCTCAGTTGTCTTCTGATCATTTTTGACCCTTTTCTCTTCTGTGCTTCTCTCATGCAGGAGTCGGAGTCAGAAGCAAAGGTCGATGGAGAGACTGCATCGGACAGTGAGAGCCGAGCGGAACTTGCTCCTCCTCCCGCTCCGGCAGATGACACCCCGGAAGTTCTCAATAGGGCCCTTTCCAATCTGTCTTCCAGGTAACCTGGCTTGGTGATGTCTGAGTGCTATGGAAGACCCAGGACCCTCAATGGGGCCATCCCACTTGTTAAGGGGTGGGTGCAGGGTGCCCACTTGCCTTAGTGCCCCATCTCTGCCCTGGGCTCCACTAAGTGTCATCTGTTGCTTAGCAGTGACAGCATAACAGAGGGTGCTCAGGATGGAGGGCAGCCCCGCCTGCAGGGAAGTGGCCCTGGAAGGCTGCTCTGGGCTGGGCTAGGCTGGGAGGTGCAGTCAGAGGAGGAGCAAGAGTGTGGACCAAGGCGTGGGGTGGGTGAGGTCAGCAGACACAGCACACTTGTGCTGGTGACTAAGGAGCTGGCTGCTTTTCACTGGCAGCCCACATTTCTGCCTCAAAGATTAGTTCTCCTTCTACCATATACCTTTTTTTTCTTTTTAATATTTATTTGAAAGGCAGAATGACAAAGAGATATCTACTATCAATTCAGTCCCCAAGTGGCCACAACAACTGGGCAAGGCTAAAACCAGGAGTCGGCAACTCTATCCTGGTCTCCCACATGGCTGGCAGAGGCCCAAGTACTTGGGCCATCTTGTGTTGCCTTCCCAGGTGCATTAGCAGGGAGAAAGATCAGAAGCTGAGTAGTTGAGTCTCAAACAGGCTCTCTGACATGGGATGTTGTCCCAGCAAGCAGCGGCTTAACCTTCTGCCCTGCAATCCTGGCCCCTAAAGGAAAACTTTTGGCCCTTGAGAAGCTGGTCCTTCTAACACCAGCTCTCTGGGTAGATTAGAATTGCAAATTATAAGGCCCAAAGCTTTATCTAAAGTGTTGCTCTGTGTATCTCCTGGCTGTTCTTTTGGGAGACTGTATTGTGCAGTGGCTAAGGGCAGCCTCTGGAGCCAGAGCCCTGGATGTTAGTCTCAGCTTCTTCATGGGCCAGATGGATGACCTTTGTCTCCATTTCCTCCTCTATAAAGCTAGTGTGCTGAGGGTTGAATGGTGTAGTGTATGTCAAGTCCTTAGAGAAGTGCCTCATGCATATCTGGGATAGCTCCTGTTATCATTGCTTAATATTCTTTCCATCACCATGGTGGTACAGGGGTAGTGCATGGTAGGATTCTGCTGTAAGAAACATTCATAATTTTTTCTTAGGGAACAGCACTGTAGAAACCCTCCAAGTAGACACAGGACCAAAGGACACTACCTTTCCCTCAGGTCTCTGTTTTTTATTTTGTTTGATGCCTGCCTTAAGATGTAAGCTGAGTGTGTATTTTTCTGAAGTTCTTGGAGCGCCTGCTGAGTATGATTGTAGGTGCCAAGCGGCCCTGCTGCCACCAGCATGTGGCTGCTGCCTCTATCAAAGTGACAGAAATGCTCAGGAAAGGACTGAACACAAAGCCCCCAAATCTCAGGAAGAGCCAGAGCCCTGGGTGTGTGTTTTGGTTCTTTTTGGAATCCTAACTGGTGTTGTCTTCTTCCCCTACACTCTAACCTAGGTGGAAGAACTGGTGGGTGAGAGGCATCCTGACTTTGGCCATGATTGCATTCTTCTTCATCATCATCTACCTGGGACCAATGGTTTTAATGATGATTGTAAGTGTCATTTACATGCTATATTTAAAAAATTATTTCCATTTTATTTCAGAGGTAGAGAGGGAGAAAGAGGGAGAGGCATTCACACAGAGATCATCCATCTGCTGATTCACTCCCTAAATGGCCACAAGAGTCAGAGCTGGACCAGACTGAAGCCAAGAGTCTAAAACTCCATCCGGGCCTCCCACTTGGGTGGCAGGGTCCCAGCTCCTTGAATCATCATATGCAGACTCCCAGGGTACACATAAGTAATAAGCTAGAATTGGAAGCGGAGCTGATACTTGAGCCTAGGCACTCTGATATGGGATATGGGCATCCCAAGCCACTGCCTTATTGCCCCTTCATGCTCTGCTATTTTATTTTTGCCCTGAGTTTTTCCTGCAGGACCTGTTGCCTTGTGTGCCACATATTGGGTTGATTTTGGGAACTGCTTAGGATCCAGGCTCCTGAGAATACTTCTACCTGCAAACCACTGGACTTCTACCTTTCACTTTTCAGCAGCCAACTGGAGGTCATTGGCAGTGACCAATTGTTTGTGGTTAAAGATTTCTTTCTTTCTTTTTTTTTTTTTTAATGCTTATTCAAGAAGCAGTGAGACAAAGTATATACAAGAATGTGTTCTCAGTGCTTCACTCCCCACATGTTCACAGTGGGCAGGACTGGAAGCTGAGCAGGACTGAAGCTGGGATCTGGAAAGTCAGTTGGGGGTCTCCCATGTGTGTGGCAGAAACCCAATTACTTGAGCCATCACTGCTGTCTCCTGGGTCTGCATTAGCAGGAAGTTAGAGTCAGGTGCTGGAGCCAGGAATTGAACCTAGGCAGGTATTACGGTACAGGATGCAGGTATTTTTTTTAAAAACTTTTTATTTATTTGAGAAGTAGAGTTACGACAGTGAGAGGGAGAGACAGAAAGGTCTTCCTTTTGTTGGTTCACTCCCCAAATGGCCGCAACAGTCAGAGCTGTGTCAATCCGAAGCCAGGAGCCAGGTGCTTCTTCCTGGTCTCCCAAGTGGGTGCAGGGGCCCAAGCAGTTGGGCCATCTTCTACTGCTTTCCCAGGCCACAGCACAGAGCTGGACTGGAATAGGAGCAGCCGGGACTAGAACTGGCGCCCATATGAGGTGCTGGTGCCGCAGGCGGAGGATTAACCTACTATGCCACAGTGCTGGCCCCAGGATGCAGGTATCTTAACTGCTAGGCTTTATAAAGGTCTGTCCCACTCTCTTAATTTTTTAAATTGACTTTATTATTCTAGCTGTTTGATTAAACTATGACCCTAGGTATGTCTAGTTTGGTTTTATTTTTCTGGGGCCTTCCTCAGGGGCTTAGAGCTATCAGTAAGAAGTCCCAGTCCACAGAGCTGCTCTTTATTTTCTCATCCTCATAGACAAGGTCAGATGACCAACAGCTGAATCTGCAGTGGGGGATTTTCAAGGATTGATACTGAGTCATAAGAGGAAGGGATTGGTTGAGTCCTGGGAAGTTCTGTAAATAAAAAGGTAATGGAGAGGGCAGGCATTATGCTGAAGCAGATTAAGCTTCCGCTTAGGGTACCAGCATCCGATATCAGAGTGCCTAGGATTGAATCTTGCCTCTGTTTCTGGTCCAGTTTCCCGCTAACATAGGTGGGAGGCAGCAGATGACTCAAATACTTGGGTTCCTATCACTCACTTGGGGGAGACCTGGGTAGAGTTCCTGGCTCCTGGCTGTGGCCTGGCCCAGCTATGGCTGTTGTGGGCATTTAGGGAGTGAATTAGTGGATGGAAGATATCTTTCTGTCTCTCTGCTTTTCAAATAAATTAAAAAAAAATTTTTTTTTAAAAAGGTTAGTGGAGGGCTAGCATTGTGGTGTAGCAAGTTTAAGTCTCCACCTGTGATGCTGGCATCTCATATAGTGGATGGTTTGTGTTCCAGATGCTCCACTTCTGATCCAGCTCCCTGCTAATGTGCCTAGGAAAGAAGCGGAGGATGGCACAAGTGCTTTGAGCCCTGCACCCATGTGGGAGACTCAGATGAAGCCCCTGGCTTCAGCCTGGTCCAACCCTGTCTGTTGTGGCTATTTAGGGAATGAACCAGCAGATGGAAGATACCCTTATCTTTCTCTCTTTTTCTGTAACTCTGTCTTTAAAAAAAAAAAAGTTGATGGAGCCATCAGGAGTGTGCATTTTATTGCAAGAAATTAGATCTGTCTGTGACACTGTGTGGGATAGTGAGAGAAAGGGAAGCAGAATCTTTGTGGGAGGGAGGTTTTTCTTAAGTAGAATGACTTTTCTTGAAGACCCGTGAGCTGCTGGTTTTGTAAGCTCATGAGAATTGGGCAGGCAGTGAGTGTCTGATGCTCTGTCTTGCAGGTAATGTGTGTTCAGATTAAGTGTTTCCATGAGATAATCACTATTGGCTACAACGTCTACCACTCCTATGACCTGCCCTGGTTCAGGACCCTCAGTTGGTAAGCCCTTAATGGATTTGGGCGGTATGCTTTGTGGCAGGTGTTCACAGGGAGGTCAGCACAGGCTCCCACAACACCTCCAAGACCTGAGTGTCTTGTAGGCCCAGTTGTGTTGCCGCACTGCACCATCTCTGCTTACAGGTACTTTCTCCTGTGTGTCAACTACTTCTTCTATGGCGAGACGGTGACAGATTACTTCTTCACGCTGGTCCAGCGAGAAGAACCTTTGCGGATCCTCAGTAAATACCACCGCTTCATCTCCTTTACTCTCTACCTGACAGGTAGGCCGTGAGCATCTTCCCGGTGCTTGTGTTTGTGTTGTTGCCCTGTGTCTGTGCCACGGGACTGTGGGGGCTTCCTGGTTGGTGTAAAGCTGTGTTGCATGAACTCTGACTCCAGTGGGAATTGGAGCTGATGCTGTGTCCTACGTCCTGGGGCAGCTCTTCACTAAGTGGACACTGAGAGGGTTGTGTGCTGTGGGGGGCCACAGTCTGTGCCACCTCCCTTGGAGGATAGCAGAGCATGGCCGTGTCCTGACTTTCATGATGGTAGAGATTCTGCCGCATGACCCAAGCAGAAATCGTCCTGAAACTTTGCCATGCTTTTAGGAGACTGCCTTGAGAAACATTGCAGCCTGGGGAAAGTTAAGTCTCTGGCCTCAGCAGGGCTAGGATTTTAATCTTTCTAAATTGCAGTGAGTTTTTGTTGTTGTTAAGATTTATTTATTTATTTGAAAGAGTTACAGTGATAAAGGGTTGAGGGGGGAGAGAGAGAGATCTTCCATCTGCTGGTTTACTCCCCAGGTGGCTGTAATGGCTGGGACTGGACCAGAAAAAAGCCAGGAGCTTCCTCCAAGTCTCCCATGTGGGTTTGGGCCATCTTCCACTGGCCATTAGCTGGGAGCTGAATGAGAAACAGAGCAGCCGGGACACAAGCCAGTGCCCATATGGGATGCTGGCATTGCAGACTTTACTTCATAGGGTCTTCCATGTGGGTGGAAGGCACCCAAGTACTTGGGCTATCATCTGCTATTTTCCAAGGCTCATTAGCAGTGAGCTTGATTGGAAGCAGAGAAGCTGGGTCTTGAGCTGGCACTCTGTTGTGGGATACCAGCATCACAAGCAGTGGCTTATCTCACTGCACTACAGTGCTGGCCCTGCCTTTATTGTCTTGAAGGAGTCAGTTTTTCTTGAAGACTGTTATCTGAATGAATAGTTTGATCTCTTCTCTGACTTTTGAAATTGTGCACTAGTTAACTGCTGTGAAGAAATCAAAGAACCACTTAGTGGAATATGAGGAGAAAGATAAATGTGGAATGTCATGTATTTTGCCCTTTCTCCCCTCCCTCTTGAATCTAGGTTTCTGCATGTTTGTGCTGAGCCTGGTCAAGAAGCATTATCGGCTGCAGTTCTACATGGTAAGGGGCTGTGTCAGGAGTCTTGGTGTGACTGAAGCTCTGCAGAAGCTCAACTCATGCTTTCTGCAACAAATCAGAACTCTGGAACGCAATGTGTTCTGCATGCGTGTGGAGCCTAGAGCATGAAGGAAGGGTGCCTGTTCATGTTTGGCGACTCTGCATCCTCCAGGGCCCAATCACTGGTACTGAACTTTAGTCCTAAGTGGTCTGTCCATTAGGATCCTGCAGGTCGGTTGTGGGTAGGACTCAAGCTGAAGTGTTAGGTATTTCCCACAGGTGTCCTGCCTGGTACATTCCTTTGGTCATTCCCTGTCTCAGCTTGAGCCTGTCTCCTCTCTTGAGTGCCCCAGGTGCTCAATGAATACTCAGAAAGTGAACCATACTTGGACTTTTAAAGCACGGATGGGCCTGCTCCCTAGTAGACCATGGAGTCCCTATTTGAGAAGCAGAGAAAGCTCCTATCCACTGGTTCACTTCTCAGATGCCTTCTTATAGTCTGGGTCGGGCTGCAGCTGAAAGCTTGGAACTCAATCCAGGTCTACCATGTGGGTGGTAAGGACCTAGCTACCTGCACCATCACTGCTGCCTCCCAGGATCTGTGTTAGCAGGGAGCTGGAGTCAGGATCCACAGCTGGGTGTTGTATCCAGGGCTGGGTGTAGAACCCAGAACTCTGATGTGAGACCAAGGCTTGCTTGCTTGCTTTTTTTTGTTTGATTTATTGACAAACAATAACTGTACAGATTTATGGGGTACAATATAATATTTTGATGCATACATTTTAATGATCATATTAGGATAATTAACATCCATTGCTTCATATATTCAAGGTTTCTTTGTAGTGTGTGTGTTCAGAAGTCTTTCTTCTAGCTATTTAGAAAAGCACAGTGTGCTATTCTTAACTATTATTACCCTACTGTGCACTAGAACACCAACAGGTTTGTTTTTACAATAATGGAAGAAAGTACTTTTTAATTCAATAAAAGTAAACCTTTCTGAGATTATCTATTTTTTTTTTTTTTTTTTTGAGGGAGTTAACTTTGGAGACGAACTCCAGAATGGTGTGTCTTTTGCGAGCACTTAGACATTACTATAGCTTAGGAGACATAGATAATGTCCTCCATTTAATACATTAAAGCAAGGTAAATCTTTGTGATCAAGTTTTACTATTAACTCTCATAATCCAACTCTGAGGAGAGAGGTCCTACATGGGAAGTTAGTGCACAGTGACTCCTGTTGTTAACTTAATGCTCTTATGTATGACGTCAGTGATCACTGGAAGCTCTTGACATGAGCTGCCTAGATTGTGGAAACCTTTTAAATCCACTGACTCATTCCATATTTAGACAGAGCTGTGGGCAAAGTGGAAGTTTTCTCCTCCCTTCAGAGTAAAGTACACTGTTCTTTGCTCATCACTTCTTTCTGTTGGTGTCTCACCCACAGAAGTCCTTCAAGTGCGACACTTTTTGCCACAGTGTTTTGGCTTTTCATGCCTGATGTGCTCTCAGGTTTTTCAGGTAGACCAGAATGCCTTAAGGTCTGATTCTGAGGTCGGAGTGTTATTTGAAGTGATTGAGACCAAGGCTTTCTAACCAGCTTCTTAACTACCAGGCTAAAGGCCTGCCCTGGTGCCTACTTTTGATGGGATTCTTAACTAATGGGATTAACTGCCAGAGGCCTGTTCTGTGTCTTTGTAAGCCAGGTATAAAAGCAGATATTTTTCCTACCTGTGTCTCAGCAAATTTCTGTTTGGTATTGATTGTTCTCTGAAGCTACTTCCAAGGTAAACTTGATAGGTTGAGTTTATTTTTCTTTTGCAGTTTGGCTGGACACATGTTACATTGCTGATTGTTGTAACCCAGTCACATCTCGTTATCCACAACCTGTTTGAAGGAATGATCTGGTGAGTGATGTCAGTGGGAGGTGGTTCCCTTTTGTTTTGTGGGTGTTTCCTAGGCGTGGGTCGGCTGAGAACCAACCCTACCTTCCCCTTTAAGCCGCTGGTTCTCACCTGCAGGTACCTCAGAATGCCTTGCAGGTTAATTCCAGTACAGATTGCTGGGGTGAGGCCTGAGAATGTGCATTTCTAGTACATTCCAGGTGATGCTGCTGCTGTTGGTCAGCTTAGACCAGCAGATCAGGCATGGGAATATTTAAAGAAGCAGACAGTGCAGCCATATGTCAACATGCTTTAGAACCTTGAGGAAATAGTGTGGTTTCCTGATAAAATATGCAGTACTAAAAGTCATAAAGAAAAACCTGAATAGATTAGTAACTATAAAAGAACTTTGAAAGTTGTATAAATTCTACATCTGGAAAAAGAAAAGAACAAATGGTTTATCTAATACCCATATGATTAGAAGCAAGAGACAAGATTAGTAAACTGATTCCTTTTATGATTACAGATAAGCCATTTTAAATAAAACATTAGCAAATAGAATCTGGCACTGTATTAAAAGAGTAATATGCTGGGACCGGCACTGTGATACACCAGATTAAATTAGTGCTGGGGAAACCTATATCCTATTTAGGAGCACCCTTTCAAGTCCTGCCGCTCCATTGCAATGCAGATTCCTGCTAATGTGTCTGGGAGGCAGCACAAGTACTTTAGTCCCTGCCACCCACATGGGAAACCAGGATGGAGTTCTGGCTTCTGGTTTTGGCCTGGCCCAGCCCAGCTCTTGTGGCCATTTAGGGAGTGAACCAGCAGGTAAAAGGTCTTTGTCTCTCCCTCTCTCTGTCATTCTGCCTTTCAAATAGATAAATCTTAGGGGGGGGAAAAAAAGTAATATGCCATTACTGAGTAGATTTCAGATATGCAGTGATTTCAACAGGAAGTCTGTCAGTATTGATAGAAATTAACAGGTTGACTGAAGGAGCTAGATCCTAGTGAGAAGGTAGAGCATGACCTGGTGTATGTAAGAGAGAGGTCGTAAGGATTATAGTTCAGACCCCAGATGGTACCTGTCTCTAGACCTCAGCATTAGGATGCACTAGTACACACTTTCTGGGAAGTGAATCAGTAAATATGTATAAAATGCTTAGAACTGACTGGCTCAGGCAGATGTTTGCCTTGGTGTTACTACATTTAAAACAAACATAATGGCCTGGGGAGGCATTGGCTCCTTGCCTTTCTCTCTGTTTTTGTTGGGTGTTTAAGAATGGCATGGGCCAAGTCTTCCTCTTTAGGGCAAAACATACCATATACTTGGTTCTATAGTGATTAATGTTAAGACTTATAATTACTAGTTTTCAACCTAGAAGACTTAGTTACAGAGCAGACTGCTAGAAGCATTGACAGAGTAAATGCCTTAGGGATTGGGAGGTGGATGGAGTATGGTGGGAGGGTACAGATGCTCTGAATCCCCCCTTTACAGACAGACAGTGCTGGCAAGATTTGTGTGTTAAGTTAAGCCGTAGTAGGTGAGTGTAAGGAGGTGTGTCAGAGGAGAAAAGAGACGGTCTGCGTGTGGACACGACCCCTCTTTGGTGGTAGGGATGCCCAGGTCATCAGGGGTGAGGATGAAGAACTGCAGATGTTCCTATTGGGATTTTTGCCTCCAGTGCATCCTGGGGAAAGATAAGGTTCATCAAGCCTTGTGACAGACAGTAAAAGCAATGAATTATAGGCAAAGGTATGTTTAGAATTGTAGAGATTTGACAAAAGACTAGCAAGGCTTAATATGAGTATTTTTGCGAATGGGGATAGAGATAGGGGAAAGAAGGATATTTTGTTATTTTTTCTTTACCCTTTACATTTGTATTATTGTGTGCATGTTACTTTATAATGAAAAGAGCAAATGACATTTGATAGACTGCCACCTCCATTTATTCAGCAGTTACTCAGTAAACACTTGAATGCCTACCGTGTGCCAGGTGCCAGATACAGCTTGTGTGGTATTTTCTTCCATTTTTAACTTTTTTTATTTATTTTTATTTTTTTCATATAGCAGTGGTTTTATTATAACCTTGATTTCACATACAAGATAGCTTCATTTATGATGAATTCACTGAAAAGTTTTATTTTTTATTTTTAAAGATTTATTCAGTCATTTGAAAGAGCTACAAAGAGGGAGAGACAGAGAGAGAGAGAGAAGTCTTCCATCCACTGATTCACTCACCAGGTTGCCACACAATGGCCAGAGCTGAGCCCCTGTAAAGCCAGGAGCCAGGATCTTCTTCCAGGTCCCCAACATGGGTGCAGGGGCCCAAGGACTTGGGCCATCTTCTGCTGCTCTCCCAGGCCATAGCAGAGAGCTAGATCAGAAGTGGAACAGCTGGGACTCAAACCCATGCCCATATAGAATGCTGGCACTACAGGCAGTGGCTTTACCCACTACACCACAGTACTAGCCCCTGGGTTGATCCTCATCTTGGTTTATTTCCTAGGTTCATTGTCCCCATTTCTTGTGTGATCTGTAATGACATCATGGCCTACATGTTTGGCTTTTTCTTTGGCCGGACCCCACTCATCAAGGTAAATGGATTGCCCTAATGGGATCTGTCACTGTGAAAGAAGGGTGATGCTTTCCATCTAAGTGGAGTAGCATGTGGGAATAGGGAGGAATGGCAGCTGGGGTTGACCTTGTGGCCATGTCTTCATGTCACCTTGGAGAAAGGTTGGTATTAAATTATTTGTGAGAGAAAAGCTAAAAGAAAACACTCACCACTACTTATTAAAAAGAAGAGAGGGGCTATTAAAATATTTTTTCAGATTATATATGCACACTTCTGAGGCTTTGATCTGGATTTGAGTGTTATTTAAGTAGTGTGTGGTATTCTAATGTAGTACATTTGTATGATCAGTTGAAACAGGGAACTGAAGGGTCTAGAAACCATATTTGAGGGAAGTTTCAGACAGTGACATGGTTACCAGTGCTCTGAGTCACAAGGACTCGTTGTTCCCAGAGCCAGTGTTGCTGAAGTGCCCTGTGCTAAGAACTTGCTCTTTGTCCACAGCTCTCCCCAAAGAAGACCTGGGAAGGCTTCATCGGGGGCTTCTTTGCTACTGTGGTGTTTGGCCTTCTGGTAGGTGGTGGCTCCCAATGGGATGGGGGAGTGGATAGAAGCCCCTACCACCTTCAGGGGCCTGTGTAGGGCTAAAGGCGGTGTCTTCCAAGGCCAGTGTTCTTGCTGAATGGTGACCCTGTCCGAAGGCAGTTGTGAACATGGCATACTTTGTAACTGGCATATCAGGACCAGCCTCCTCCGTCACCAGTGTTCGGGCAGGGTCATGTGCACCTTGTGTGTCTCTCAAGCTTAGCTGTGGTGACACTTAGTAGGTGCTGTGTTTGTCAAGCATCTGATATTCCAAGATCAGGGTGAGGTGAGCTATGTAGTCCAACCCAGATTTTCTCCCACAAGTGACCTGCCAAGATGTGGATGCCTTTTGTTTTTGCTTCTGACCCTCAGGCCAGTTTTCCTCCTTTCTTAGGATTGTCTGTCCTTCTGTGTTGGCCTCTCTTAGCTTTATTGTATGCTAGCCATCTTTCTCTGGCTGGCTGCCTCTTGCTGTACCACCTCCTCACAATCTGCCTCCCGTTCTGTTAAGAGCAGAATGGACTGTGGCTCCCCCAAAGTGGGAGAGCTAAACTTCTCAAAGTTCTTGGTGTAGATTCCTTCAGGTCTTCCCTGCGCTCCTTCGGGGCCTGTGTGTTTGGGCACAGATGGATGAGACCTCAGTGGTCCATGAACCTGTTCTTTTTTAATTCAGGTAAAATACATGTGTGGTGCAACGTGATCCTCTGATGTAACATGTAGTCAGTTAGCGGGGTTCTGGGCACTGTGGGGAACATGGCCAATCCAAGTGTCTGCTGACTCTTCCTCCTCCTCAGCTGTCCTACGTGATGTCTGGGTACAGATGTTTCGTCTGCCCTGTGGAGTACAACAATGATACCAACAGCTTCACGGTGGACTGTGAGCCCTCGGACCTGTTCCGGCTGCAAGAGTACAACATTCCTGGGGTGGTCCAGTCTGTCACTGGCTGGGTATGTGCCAGTCACCTGGGGTGAACAGCCATAGGTGCACCAGGGACTACAGAAAGCCTCTCCTCTGCTACCTTCCTTCTAACAAACAACCTTCATCCCTCCCAGGAGTGTAAGCCCAAGAAATACATGTGCGGTTGTTTGAATTTTGAGCTGGATTAGCTGCTTCTAACTGGGAACTTAACTTTTACTGGACAGCAACTAACACATGAGCTTTTCAGATTAGGATACTTAGCCAGTCGTCTTATTGAGAAGAATGAAATGTCCGACAGTAGCTGGTACCAGTGATAATGTTTGGCGTCCAAGTGCAAATTAGAATTTTGGAAAGCCTGTGCTCACCGTTGTGAATTTGACAGCTTTCCGATACTTAGCGTCTTTTCTCATGAGCTCTGTGGTGATTTTAATGTGATATTTTGACGCTGTATAAAATAGACTTTTTTAAACTATATATTCTTCCACCAAAACAACATACTGCAACAGATTAAATACAGAGTAGCTTTATGTCTCCCATTAAAGCCAGGTGTTAGAGATTTACAAAAATCGAAAAAAATCTTATTTTTCTGTGTATATAAATTAGTTTAATAAGTTATTTGCTCAACATGTAACAAAGATGGGCTAATTTTCCTTCATTTCTTGTTGTCAGAAAACTGTCCGGATGTACCCATTCCAGATTCACAGCATTGCCCTCTCCACCTTTGCCTCCCTCATCGGCCCCTTTGGAGGGTTCTTCGCAAGTGGATTCAAACGAGCCTTTAAAATCAAAGTAGGAAAACCTTCTTCCCTGTTTTCTCGTTCTCCTCCTTCCTTGCCCATCTGCTGCCCCTCTCTGCCAGCCCCCACCCCCGTCACATCACTAGGCTGTCCACGCTGGGGTGAGTGTGTGCTCTTCTTGATCCGTACACTGAATTTAGGTGGATTCAGTAAAAAGATGTCGTTTCCAAGAAAATTCCATCATTGTTTTTTTTTTTTTTAAAAGATTTATTTACTTATTTATTTGAAAGTCAGAGTTACACAGAGGAGAGGCAGAGAGAGAGAGAGGTCTTCCATCTGCTGGTTCACTCCCTGATTGGCCACAATGGCCGGAGCTGTGCCAATCTGAAGTCAGGAGCCAGGGGCTTCCTCCAGGTTTCCCAAGTGGGTGCAGAGGCCCAAGGACTTAGGCCATCTTCCACTGCTTTCAGGCCATAGCAGAGAGCTGGATCGGAAGAGGAGCAGCTGGGACTCGAACTGGCGCCCATATGGGATGCTGGCATTGCAGGAGGCAGCTTTTATTTGCTATGCCACAGCGCTAGCCTCCCATCATTGGTTTTTAATTAATTTGTTAATATATAAGCATACCTCAAAGTACATGGCAAAACAGAATAAAAACATAAGCTTAACTTTGATTTCTGGTGGAAAAATTTTTAAATCCATTCATAGCTCTTTTTGGTACTATCTTTTCCTGTGAACTTTTTTGTAATAGGTGTTTCTCATGATATGCATGTCCATACATTTTTAGAGCCCTTTCTTAAGAGAACATTTTGTAATTTATAAGATTATAATCAGAGGCCGGTACAGCCTTGGCATCTGATCCCACACTTCTTGATTTCATTGCCTTCAGCTGTTTGGGGTGGTAGCTGGACATGGGGTGAGCCCTTAGTCTGGAGTCTGCTTGTAGGCCAAGGCCAGGCTCAGCCACTGCTCCTCTCTTATAGGACTTTGCCAACACCATTCCTGGCCATGGAGGCATCATGGATCGCTTTGACTGCCAGTATCTGATGGCCACCTTTGTCAATGTGTACATCGCCAGCTTCATCAGGTATACTGCCTTTCTGTCTGGTATGTGGGGCAATTCCAGAAGCTTAGCCTCTCCTAAGTTCCAGTGAGAAGCATCTCAAATGTGAGTGCAGCCTTCAGTTGTGGCCGTTGAGGGGCTCTCTGAGGCCCCCTCTTGTCCTCCATTATCAATCCAGACATCAGCGTGGCCACTTGGGTATTCAGGCCTCAGAAGCCGCTGGGCCTCAGCTCAGCACTGTTTCTTCATGTTCTGTTCCAGGGGACCCAACCCAAGCAAATTGATCCAGCAGTTCCTGACCCTGCGACCAGATCAGCAGCTCCACATCTTCAACACACTGAAGTCCCACCTGACCGACAAGGGGCTTCTCACAGCTGCCACGGAGGACGAGTAGGGGCCACCCAGGGCAGAAGAGCAGGTGCAGGACTGAGTGAGGGGCAGGTCTCCAAGGCAAGCCCAGCTGGTGTGACTTAGACAATGACAGGGCTTCGACTCACTGTCTTTTCTCTTTTTTTTCCCCCTGTAGAGTGTTTTTTATTTGTGGGTTTAAAAATCTGTATATACAGTCTCTGTGTTTTTGATTTGGGTTGTGAGTAGATTATAGCTTTGAGTTGGGAAGAAGTCACAGGAGGAAAACCATTTAGGTTTAAAAAAAAAATGTTTAACAACCAGGAAGACAGTGTTGTGTGGCTCAGGGTGTCTGTGTGGTGGTCCCATCAGCTGAACAGCTTGTAGACTCATTCAGAGAATGGACGTTCTTCTGTGTCCTGCAGCTCAGGGGCCTCTCCCAGGTGCTGGGGTGCACGTCCTGATGTCTGTGCTCCTGGAGAGCTTCCATCTGGGCTTCTCTAGCAACCCCGCAGTGGAGCAGTAAGAAGGTCGTCTTCTGTAGCCCTGCCCTGCGGGAGGGAGGTTTAGCCATCAGATAAGCATTCTGTCCATGCTGATAGCCTGCAGGGTGTGAGTCAGCTCTGCTTTACAAGTAAGTAATGCTTTCACCTTCATCACAGATTGAAAGGAGGTTTCAGTTTTTACTTTTTTCAGAAAGCACGAGAAATTATTTATAATAATCTGGAGAGAAATCCACACTGTAGTAGTTCAAGTGTATGCAATAGAACGCCCGCAGAGCCTGCTCCCGTGTTGGGTGGGATCAGGTGTCTCCTGTAGGGCGGGCCAGCTCACTGTGTCTTCTGGGCTGGCACTCTTCATGTTGTGCTGTAGACTTGCTGCTGCTGAATCCCTTCTGGGGTCTCCCTGTCTGCGCACCCTCGGCCAGGACACCGTGTAGCTGCTGTGTTGTGTATATATGGTTCTTACAGCCAGAGTGTGTCTGTGTGTTTTAAAGAAGTCTCGTGTGCCATGCATTCTTCACTGAAACCACAAAGTCCTGCTTAAAACTATGGAGACCCTAAGCTGATGAGAGGCTTGACCGCTGTGCAGGTTAAATGTACACTTTTTATATAATGTGACCAGTTTAAATACAGTGTGTATTTTCCTGGGGGACCTTTTGTTCAAACTGTGATTTATTTTTCCCCCTCCCTATTGGTAAGGGGTGAGAATTGACTTTGGGAAGACAGATGAGTTCTCTGTCAGGCCAACACACAGCAGAGTGTGGGAATGGGAAACTTGGTGGCCAGATGTGTTAAATTACCTGGTGCCATGGATCACCTTGCTTTAGCCCCTGGGTCTAGTGTGTGGTTAAGTTCCCCCTTCCTACCTCCCCAGAAGGCTCGGCCAGCCCTGATTGCCCAAACGTCCAGTGGAAACCGAACCCTTACAAGTTTTCAGCTCACATCGCTGCCTGACCCTCCTCATGCATGTGGAGTTGAAGCAGCTTCTTTCCCTTAAACTTTGACTTCCATTTCAGCCTCATGGCCTTTTTAAAAAATTTCAGGTCCAAGATCCCCTTCATAACAAAACTGCAAAGGGTTCGGTCCTGGCTGTGACCCCAGGCAGGGCGCGTGCTCTCAGGGCCTTCGTTTCCTGAGCTGTCCTCCAGCTCTGCTCTCTGCATCCGAAGGGCTCCTGTGGGTATTGAGTCACGTCCTGGGGCACCCCGAGGAAGTGCCTTCAGGCCTCTTCTAGCTGCGCATCCTCTTGAGTCGGGGTTGCAGCAACGGGTCTTACACAGAGGAGAGTTCAGGAATGTAATAGCAGTTCTCTGAAGAGTGAACCTGCATCATCAGATCCTCGTTTGTCTTGTGTTCCATTGTGGGTGTCTGGTGGGACCTGAGAACAAGGAGACTTAGCTGGGGCTAAGTGAGAGAGAGGTGAGACCTCTCTGTGATAGGGCTGCCTTTAGGACAGGTGAGGCTCGCGCTGCTTGTGGCACTGGTTGCTCACAGGGGATCTAGGCCTGAGAGGGTTTATTTTCTAGGGATTTCCCAGTCAAGGAGCTGGGAGGCAGCGCCACCTTGTGTCTCTTTAGCACAATGTTCCTTTCCTCTGTTTTACCATCCACCCATGTGGGTCCTAATGAATGGTATACCTTGTTTTACAAAAATCCATTTTTTTGGTCAGAAATAAAATGTGAATGAAATGCTGTATATTCCCTTTCCTTGAATCCGGTGTTTGTTGACCCCACGCATGGTTTTGTTTCGCACTTGTTCATGTGTTCATCAGTATTGGTTGTATAGTCCCGATTTAGAAGGTTTTGTTTTGTTTTTTTTCCAACTCGTGTGCCATACATTCTCACTGCAGCCTTCTGAGAGTCCTCAGGTGAGAGTCAGAGCTGCCCCAGGGCCTCCCGGCAGAGTCGGGACTCACTCTGTCTCGCGCTGCACCTGTGGCACGTGGACTGCAGGGGCCTCAGCTCCCCGCTTCTGTGGCCGTGGCGCCAATGCACTGGAAATGTTGCAGCGCTCCTCCCTCAAGCTCAGGAGGCCTCACTTGAGCCAGAGGTGCATCAGTTGCTGTTAGCACACAGGTGAAGTCAGGAATTGAGGAATGAGGGAGACACAGCCTGGGTGTCCCCTGGTGAGTTCCTGCCACTGCTCCCAGGTACCCAGTCTCCCTCTGAGTGTGCCCAAGCCACTCCTCCGTTTCCAGCATTGGGAGGTACACATCTGTGTTTTGCTCCTTAAAGTGAAACCCTCTAAGGCAGCCCAGGCCCTGTTCATGTTGGTTACTTTTTTGACTGTTTCCTATCCTGAGCATTTTAGTGCTCTGTTTAAAATGTATTCACTCTTAGTGTTGTGCAGTTCTGAGGTGTATGTGAACTAGTTTGTCTGTAGAGGCATGGAATATGACTTTTTCCGGGTGGACTTTGAAATCGTTTTTATGGTATTTTCCCCACTCCTCCCCCTACCCTGGGCCTTTCTCCTGTAACTTGACCTTATTAGGCAATAACATTTCAAACATACATTTTAAGGGAGACTACACAGACTCCATGACTGAGTCTAAGCCAGTTGCTAAGTTGGCTGGAGCCTAGTGGCAAGGGAGCCCTGTGTTCAGATCCTCACAATGTTGGTGAGCCCCTGGCGGGTTCCGGTCTCTCCCCACTGTTGACAAAGTTGGGGTGTGAGAGAATGTGAGTGATTCAGGGCAGAGCGCGCCTTAGCCCAGAACCCTACACAGCCATAGCCATTTCCAGAGTAGATGTGGGATGTGCTGCTGAAACCCCTTCCTATTTAGTAATAGCCTGGGCTCCACTGGCTCTTGTGTTTCAGAGTCACTCACATGTGGGCCCAGCTTTTAAAGATTTATCTGTTCACCTGAAAGAATCATCGAGAGGGAGGGAGGGACAAAGAGATCCTCTATCTGCTGTTTCACTCCCCACATGGCTGCAACAGCGGGAGCCGGGTCCCGGAGCCAGGAGCTTCCTCTGGTTCTCCCACGTGGGTGCAGGGGCCAAAGCACCTGGGCCATCCTCTGCTGCTTTCCCCAGCACATCAGCAGGGATCTGGAAGTGGAGCAGCAGGGTACGAACCGGTGCCTATATGGGTTGTAGGTGTTGCAGGCAGTGGCTTACCCCACTTTGCCCCAGTGCTGGTCCTGGGCCCAGCTTTCTCGTACACACTGTGCTGATGTGCTGAGGGAAGGGTAGAGTGGGATGGGGGCGGCAGGGGCAGTTTCACGTCACCTGACCAAGGTCAGGATGGGGAGGAAAAGATGAAGTGGAAGGTGTGTGAGTGATTGTTGCAGCCACATCACATGGCAGGGAGCCACGGGTAGACTCTTCACTTGTGTTGTCTGGAGCACAGGGTTCCAGAGAGCAGCTGGAGCGTTCAGCTCCTGAGACACAGCTAAGTCTTGGACAGAGCCTCCCGCTTGTCCTTATCTTGGTCAAACCAGACTTCCTTTTCCCTTAATCACCCTCCTGTACAGGCGCCCTGCTTCCTGACTTGGTTTCCCTTGGTGGGTGGGGGTCTTGTGGCCTGACCTACGTAGGTGCCAGGCTTTGGTGGCAAAGAATCCTCACTGAAAGGTCCGGCTGGCTGACCCCTCTGTCCTGGGCTCTGCTCACATCCCCTTGGGGGTGGGCCCCGTTCTCAGGAGGGGGTTCCTGGCTGCCAGCTGTTTTCTTCTGAGCAGCTCCCCTTCCAGGTTGACCTGCAGTGGCCTTGTTCACCTGAGCTCTCAGGTGGGTGGGGCAGGGCTTCTCCTTCGGGGCTGCCTCTTGCTTCAGCAGTGGTTTGTGTGGGGACCTCGGCTCTGAGGGCAGTGTAGGAGGAGGTGTACTGTGGATGCTGATGTGCTGGGGCTCTCAGAACACGTGATGATCTGTGAAAACCAGAAGGGCAGAATGTGTGACGTCCAGGGTTCTGTGGCCAGTGGGGTTCAAAGCTCTTGGCTATTTGGAGACCCCGTGCCTTCCCCTCTTTAGCAAATGCCTCTCTGCTGAGGTTCTTTCTCTTTTTATTCTTGAGCCAATGAAATATCAGCAGGTGTCGATTAGTAATGATTGCAATCACAAAGTGCTTAATATGTGCCAGGCACACTGCTAGGAGTTTACATACATTATCTCTGTTATCCAGAAGGTGAGGTATCATTGTCATGCTCATTGTATCAAAGGAAACTGAGGCCAAGAGTGATGACCAAGGAGACAGACGTGGGCTCACATAGCCCTGGGTCTGGGCAGGCTCCTAGGCTGCTCTCGCCCTGCCTGCACCTCTGACCCAGCTGGGGCTGGTATAGGTGCTACAGGCCAGCTGTGGTATTGATGGAGATAATGCATGTCAGCGTTCAGCGTGCCGCCTGGCACATCGTAAGCACTCAATAAATGGTAGTTACTTGCGTGGAGCTCCGCTGGTCCTTGGACCCTTGCTGTGGTAGTGCTAGAGACAGGGTTCTCAGCCACCTCGCTGCTGCTACCCTGCACGCCAGCGGTTGCCAGGCTGCGAAGTGAGCCTGCTGCCCTTCTGAGAGAAGCAGCCCCGCCTTAGCACCTCCGTGGCACCTTGGTGCTTTGCACGGCCTCTAGAAGGCCAACCTGATGGAGCTTGGAAGAGGACGTGAGGAGGCCCAGAAGTGCTCTCCCCTGAGGGTCCTGCAGCTTCCTGTGCCTGTGGTCTGGGCTGCCCCTACCCAGAGTTGGCTTCCTCTTGCCTGGTGGTGCCTCTGCTCCATGGGCAGGGAGGGCCTGTGACTGCCCCGGATCCTACTTCCCTATGTGGCCGGGAAACTTATCAGGCATAGGCAACACGAGTGCAAATTTTCAGGGTCCGGGGGTGGAGAAAACAGACCTGCTGTACAGCAGATTCCACTGACTGGAAGCCTGAACACAGCTCTGCCTGCATGCGGCCTTGCAACATGGCCAGTCTGGGGCCTGGTGTTTTTGTTCTTCCTTAAAAGTATTCACGGGACGGAAGCGGCAGCCTGCCTAGGACATGTGGCCTGGGGTACTGCTGGCGGTTCTAGGTTAGCCAAAGGCTTGACTGGGTGACTGACAAATGAGGGGTAACAGACACTGGATGAGCAGACACTTGCCTCTTTAACTTAGCTCCTGAATGAAGACAAGGGTCGTGGAGGAGGGAGAGGTGAAGTGGAGGATTCTTGGCTTTGAAGCACTGGTGGTGGCTCCTGGGACCGCTGGAATTCTGAAGCCAGTGGAATAATCACCTAGAAGACTGGCTCGAGTGTGGGGTAGCTCCTGCGTGTCAGTGGAGCCTAGATGCCATTGCTAGAATTTAAATAATGGTCTCTCCCCTTCAGTTAAGTAATGAATCAGGAGACATATCAGGCTGACCCTGGCCCTGCTTGGAGCTCCCTTGTGCTGTTGCACGCACCCATGCAGCCTCTGATCTGCAGAGAGCCGGTGAGGACCCCCTGGAAGTACCCCAGCAGGGCTCTCCCAGGCTCTGTGCAGTGCTCAGCAGGGTGTGCCATCTGGTGCTGTTGTCCTAAGTGGAACCATTCGTTCATCCACATGGCTGAGTCTGTCCTGGCTGCTGGGGTACTGTTTTCTTACCCCCGTTAGGCTCATACACCGGTTTTGCTGGCTTTTCTCAAAGGAACACCAGTTTAGAAAAGGGGTCAAGAATGTTTCCTAGTGGGTGGAATCTGCGTAACTGTTTTTATGAGTGTCCTTCCTACGCTGCTTTGTTCAGCTCCTCTATACACAGACAGCAGCCTTCAGTACACCCAGTGCTCTGTCTCACGTCACCCAGGCTGGGCGTCGGGGGGCCGAGCACGAAGCAGAAGAGCTGAGCAGACGTCAGGAGCCAATAAAACAGAAGGCCTCGGAGCCAAGGGGCCCACCAGGGCCTGGGAAACAGACTGTTGTCTGGCCACAGCAGGAGCCACAGGGGCAGCAGCAGGGGGAGCACAGGGTAAGGGAGGCGGCTGGGAATTTCACAGCTGAGGACAGGCGCGCAGCAGGCCAGCTGAGGGCTTGCTGGTCCCAGCTGCCTTGTGGGTGGGGGGCCCGAAGATAGCTCAGAAAACCTGTGTAGGGAGATTTGAAGCTGGGGATTATCTTTTAGAGGTGGTACTGATACCAAGTCTTCATGTGGTTGATGCTCAGTACCTTTCACAGCAGGAGAAGAGCAGACCAGACCCCTCACCCCCACTGGAGAGTTTTGGGAACCCCAGCTGTGGCTGTCTTTTGAATTCACTCCACTTGGGATTTATTTAATCAGGAAGTTCCCCCAAATCTAACAAGGGTCCTCCTGCCCCTTTAGGGAGTGCTCTGTGCTGGCAGTGCCAGGAAGTCACATATGGCCTATCACTGCCAGCGTCTATGCCTCCTGGGGGTCTTCCTGGGCCCTGCCTCCTCCGTGACTGGGGTGGCTGGTGGGGGGCAAAGCACCCCTAGGGCAGTTCTTCAGCCCCCTCCCACTTTGTGTGGAGGGACACAGATAGGCTGGGTGATGGGGGTAGAGTCCACGTGACAGTCTGATGGCCTCCCCTGGGAAGTGTGTGCCTGTACAGCTGCTGTGCCATTGACCCACTTGGCTGGCGTTTGACTAAAGCAGTGTTTGTTTTGTTTTTGTTTTGTTTTTGCCACAGCTGATCCTTCTCTGTATACTTCTGATCAGTGTTGAACACTACATGTAGATTCTTAGCACAATGTAAGAACTCGATATCCTGTACATTGGAAATATTTACCTTATTTATATACCCGATTGTTCCTACTACACAAATAAACACATATTACATGCTAGATCACGTGTGGTTCTTGACTTGGGGTGGGGAGTGCATTTTGAACGCCAAGGGTGTGGAAGGGGCAGCTGACCTGGTGTGAGTGTTGGGAGTCGCTAGTATGGAACCAGCCATGGTGCTGCTGGCCCCTCCCTGTTTCCAGAGACACCTTTGTGCTGGCAGGCTGCCCTCCCGGCCTGCCGCCTGCCTCAGCCGGCTTCTTTGTCTCTTAGATCCTCTTCCTGGGGATTTCCACCCATTTGCAGGGCTCCACTGACCACACTCACCTTCTGCAGTGCCTAGGTCCATGTCTCTGATCTGCATGGGCCTGAATCTGTCTGTGAGCCTCTTCACTTGCCGACACCTGCCCCGCATCCAGTAGTATTGATCTCACCATCTGTTTTGTTGCACACGCCGGGGATAGGGAGTGATCTCCTTGGTAACTAAGGCCTGCCCACTCTACCTTCTGAATATCCCTGAGATTCATCCTCACTGCCCAACCTCTGGGCCAGGCCTTTGCTTCTGCCAGAATTTCGGTGGCAACCCCTGGCCATCTCTCTGTGGTTGTGCCAATTCTGCTAATGCATTCCATGCATGAGAACTGGGAGAGGAGCGCTCTCTCTGTTCAGAACCCTTTGGTGCCTTTGGTTAAACTTGAGACTGGTTAATGGGGGTTCTGGGGCTGCAGTGAGCTGGCCAGTATGTCACCCATGCTCTCGGCCCTGCCCTTTCAGTCACTTCCTTCTTAATCCATGTACTATCCTGCCCTGGCTTAGCAGGTGCCTTTCTCTCTTCCCAATTTCCTTCTTTCTCCTGGCTCGCCCTTAGTCTGCCTGACTCCTAGCTTTCCAGGTCTTGCTGTCAATAGCACCTGCTCTGGGGGAGGCTTGTGCACCTCCATGCTGAGTGCTTGCTACCCCAGGGCTGTTTTCCTGGGAGTTGGTTGGCCCTGGTAGGAAGGTGGAAGGGTCCTTAAGTCTTTTCTCCAGGGGCCAGTGGGCTGCTATTGTCTGGGCTAATGCCTTGGGCTGTGGGACTTCCAGATGCTTTGCCTCTTGACAGGAGCCTCTGACTTTCTCACCCAGAGGGACTCCAGCATTGGGACTTCCGGAATGAGTTGCCTGCTAGCACTCAAGGTACAAGTAACCCTGCATTTAGGTACTTTCCTAAATCTGACAAAATCTGACTCTAGGCAAGCAGTTTCCAAGATTGATGAGAAACCCAACCTTAGTCATTTCCCTTGCCTACTTTGCTCTCTTTTATCTTGGGAACCAAGGATCTGTGTAGTGCTAGAGAAGTGGGCGGGGCAGGGGTTCCTGGTCTCCAGTCGGTCTGCCAAAGGTTCCGTTGTTCAGACCTGGGAGTTCTATCCATTCACTCCGACACGGCCCCAGCAGCAGCACCAGGGTGTCTGGTGTCCTTCCTGGGAGCCTGGTGGGTCTCAGTGGTCTCCATACGATCAGCAGACAAGTGGAGTGCCACTTCATCTAGGTGCCATCGCACACGGGATGCAGCCACAGATAAAGTCCCGGGAGGAACTTTATGGGAGGAGGGTAGTAAGGTGATCTGTTGGAGAATAAGTAGGAGAGGAAGACAAGGAGTGCTGCTGGGGAGAGGTTGCAGTTCTAAATAGTGTGGTCAGAGAGGGCTTTGCTGCCATGGAGAACACCTTTGTGTTGGGTAGAGAGCCATGCGGATATCTGGGACAGCGTGTCCAGGCAGGTGCGCAGCAAGTGCAAAGATACCTGCAGGCAAGTGAGGTGAGAGCAGAGGCAAGAAACAAGATCCCAGATAGTATATAAGCACCCTGGGCCTAGATTGTGAGTTTTTTTTTATAAAATGTATTCGAGAATGACAGAGGGTAAGAGACACACACACACACACAGATTTTTCATCTGCTGATTCACTCCTCGAATGCCTGCAAAAACCGGTGATGGGCCAGGCTGAATCCAGGAGCCAGGAACTCCATCTGGGTCTCCCATATGGGTGGCAGGGACCCAAGTACTTGGGCCATCATGTGCTGCCTCTCAGGTGCATTAGCGGGGAGCTAGATCAGAATCACAGAGTAGCAGGACTCAAACCGGGCTCTCCAGTGTGGGGTGCAGATGTCCGAAGTTGCAGCTTAATCTGTTATGGCACCGCACTTGCCCTGGCTCCACAAGCTTTTACTCTGAGCCAGATGAGAAGCTGTTGGAAAACACGGAGTGACAGTTTGACTTGATCTGATGTTTGTTTTCAAAGGGTCACTTGGCTGCTCTGGTAAGAAGACTAGAGGCCGGCGCCGCGGCTCACTTGGCTGATCCTCTGCCTGCGGCACCGGCACCCCGGGTTCTAGTCCTGGTTGCTCCTCTTCCAGTCCAACTCTCTGCTGTGGCCTGGGAAGGCAGTGGAGGATGGCCCAAGTGCTTGGGCCCTGCACTCGCATGGGAGACCAGGAGGAGGCACCTGGCTCCTGGCTTCGGATCAGTGCAGCGCACCAACCGTAACGGCCATTTGGAGGGTGAACCAATGGAAGGAAGACCTTTATGTCTGTCTCTCACCGTCTAACTCTGCCTGTCAAAAAAAAAAAAAAAAAAAAAAAAAAAAAAAAAAAAAGACTAGAGAGGGCAAGGGCAGAAGGAGAAAGACCAGAGAGGAGGACACAGCAGCAGGACAGGCACAAGAGGATGGGCGCTCGGCTCAGTTGGCAGAGAAGGATGATCGGATTGTCAGAACCTGTCGATGTGGCCCGGCTTCCACCCACAGCAGAAAACTGTTAACTTCCTCCTGGGAGGGAGGCAGAATACTGAGGCCTGGGTGCCCTTTCCTCAAGGAGGAGGTCCACCTTTGGTCTTGCAGGGAGGGGAAGAGGGGAAGGGAAACAGCAGGAATGACTTCTGACTTGATTATTCAGAGAACAGGCAGTCGGGTGAGCAGCCACATAGAGCGGATGATGGCCTGGCTGTGCCATGCTAAACCACAAGCCGTCACTTCCCTGGAGTTACCAAAGGACATCGCCGGCTCCAAAGTCAGCCAAAATTCAAGAAGTTCTCAAGTAGGGTAAAACCATACTGGTGCTTCCCTTCATGTTGCTTCCCAATTTTAACACCAATCTTCAGCACGGTTTTGATGTAAAACACGTCTTGTAGACTGACATGAGGTCTAGCATAAATCTGATCTTGCTTGACAAAAGCAGTGGGAGTTTCTTGCAGCAAAGATGATGTCCCTGATCTTGTCCACAGGATCCCTATTTCTCATAGATTCTAAGAGCCATAGAGGCAGGGATTCTCAGACTAAGCTGTGAGTTGCAAACAACTGAAGAACTTAACACCCAGGGCCTCAGCAGCACTTCAGACCCAATTAAGTCAGAATCTTTGAGGGTGGGAAGTAGGGTTCAGTGTTTTAAAAATAATTCTCCAGGGCCGGCGCCCGCACACCGGGTTCTAGTCCTGGTCGGGGCGCCGGATTCTGTCCCGGTTGCCCCTCTTCCAGGCCAGCTCTCTGCTGTGGCCCAGGAGTGCAGTGGAGGATGGCCCAAGTGCTTGGGCCCTGCACCCCATGGGAGACCAGAAGAAGCACCTGGCTCCTGCCTTCGGATCAGCGCGGTGCGCCGGCCGCAGCGCGCCGGCCGTGGCGGCCATTGGAGGGTGAACCAACGGCAAAAGGAAGACCTTTCTCTCTCTCTCTCTCTCTCTCTCTCTCTCTCTCTCTCTCTCTCTCTCTCCACTCTGCCTGTCAAAAAAAAAAAAATTCTCTAGGAGATTTCAAGGTGCAGCCAAGGCTGATTGAAACTCTCTCAGATGAGCCCAGCCCTGATTCCCAAGAGGTGGGTACCCTCTGCTGGAGCATCCCCATGGGTGAGTGACAGAGAGGGAAAGACACACACAGAGATCTTCCATCTATATATATATATATTTTTTTTGATATGCAGAGTTAGACAGTGAGAGAGAGACAGAGAGAAAGGTCTTCCTTCCATTTGTTCACCCGCCAAGTGGCCACTACAGCCGGAGCTATGCCGATCCGAAGCCAGGAGCCAGGTGCTTCTTCCTGGTCTCCCACGTGGGTGCAGGGGTCCAAGGACCTGGGCCATCCTCCACTGCCCTCCTGGGCCACAGCAGAGAGCTGGACTGGAAGAGGAGCAACCGGGACTAGAACCCGGCACCCATATGGGATGCCGGCACCACAGGTGGAGGATTAACCAAGTGAGCTACGGCACCAGCCCCACAGCTCTATTTTTGATGCAGTTTTTAAGGGGCTATTCAGTGGCTTTTGAAGAAGAAATACCATCCTTCCCCCGCCCCCATAACCCCCTGCGCCGACCCTCATCTGTGGCCCCTGCTCTAAGGTCCTGGTAAAATGTGGTCCCCAGCTCAGCACAGCAGTTCTGTCGTGGGCCGGCAGAGGGCAGCAGAAGGCCATGGCTGAGGCTCAGGGCTTCTGCATGGACCACAGCTGGGTGGGGTACCCGCCTGGCCTGTGACCTTGAACAAAAGCCTCAACAGCTCAGCCTCCTTTCTGAAACAGGGGCAGTTGAGGAAATATATAGCACATCTGCCTAGCTCCTAGCTCCCATTAATCATTTAACGGAAACCCCTACTTGTTATGGTAACACGTTGGTCTGAGAAGTAGCTTTCCCAGGGGTGCACCTGCCATTGAAGGCTAGGGTAGGGCTGGTATGCAGGGAAGGGGGAAGAGCCAGGGAGATGAAGTGATTTCTGTGGCTTGGGGTCCCCAGGCCAGCAGGAATAATGCACCCAGGAAGGCTGGCCGAGCATCTTGGACCCTTGTCCAGTTCCTGCCCCTGTACATGTCCTCAACAAATCCTTAAAGGAGGACTTGTTGGTCTCCTGTTCCGTGTTGGTTGAGGGAGTGCCTAAATTCAATGCCCGACTCCATCCCCTGTTGGCTGTATGGCCTTGGGCAGGTTAATTAGCCTTTCTGGGCTTCCGTGTCTTCATCTGTATGATGAAGCATGATGACAGCATGTACCTGATGCGGTCACTGGGAGGATTCAGTAAGCTCATACATGCCAAGAGCCTGGCC